AAAATCCTCACGACAGAGAAGCGAGAATGCGTATCATTTGGCATTTTTTGAAAATGGACATCAAAATTTCAGTAGTTTCAGATTTATTTTCTGTATTATACTGTATTTAAAGCTGTAACTGTCTTTTTGTATTGTATCTTATGTGTTAGTTTACGTGTTATTGTGTGTGCAGCTCTATGTATCTGCAGTTTATTTTGTTGCGTGAGTCACTATGTTGTGGAGTTTCTCACCCAAACTTGGCTCAAAGGGACATTACAGTGTGTTTGTAACAGCTGTTTTAATATAATCAATATGTTAATTACGACAGCTTTTCTTCTAAAATGACTTGCTGGCAGTAAATCACGTTGGAGAGTCGAATCCCAAAGGTCTTCATCTTGAGCCCTTTTATTGGAACTCTCTTCCATTGTCAAGCTAGCTGTTGCATTTGAGTCCATAAAACTGTCCTTGTAACTTTATTTACCACTCACTTTCATCATGAAGTCATGACTATTGTCCTGATTTTAAATCCTGTGACTCCAATAGAGGATGTATTGAGAAATGGCTCCACTGACAATGCCCTGCCTCTAGTCTGAGCTCTGAGCGTCACAAAGCGGGAGCGTGTTCACTGCTGATGTTGCATTCCAGCTGGAACAATCCCACTGTTTTCCAGACCCCAAAGTGGACGCCTAAATTGGACAACACCCCCCCCACACACACAAACACTCTCTCTCACACACTACACACATCACCCCCCCTTTCCCCCTCTGCTCTCCAACAACCACCAACCAACCAACCCACCCACCACCCACTACTACATACGATCCCCTGCGTTCTCCTGTCCTTCTATTGGGTAGAACGTTCTTTGAGCGTGGGGGGGTGTTTAGGAGAGGGGTGTGAAGGTGGGGGGGTAGGTGAGGGCGTTGGGTTGACACAAGTGTGAGGTCAGTGTAGTATGAAACATTCGAGCACTTCGCAGCCCTCCTTAATAAGGACATGTCGAATCAGGCCCCCATCTCCTGGTGAAGAGCCTCTCTTTTCCAGCACCTCACTTGAACGCCCACTCTTCGTTGAACACTAGGAACCTCCATCGGGAGGTCGTCAGATCTGCCGCTGCTACACTAAACGCCGTTTGTTTGCTCTTCACAGGTTCAAAGTGGAGGAGCGGAGGCTTTGCGCGCTGTTTTGTCAGCTATAATGGGGAGATAAAAATAGAGTGGCCCGGGGCCCCTCCCTCCCTCACTGCTGCCCACCCCACCCAGTCTTTGTGGAGGTATTGCCCCTGGCTGTACTGAAGCTGTTGCCCCAAAGCACCCTGTGGATCATTAATGAAATACTTTGGGCTGCCTGAAAGACATTTTCACACTAGACCACACAAACACCATCTGCTGTACTTGAGACTGAGAAAGAAATGTGTATTTAAGGGTTACATTAGTGTTAATGTTAATGGCTCTTTGTGCCTACATATGTTTCTGTTTTTAATTTGTACCAACACACAGGCTGCTGACAGCAAGACTGTAAAATAAGTCAAATCATTATGGCTAATGTCAATGACATATGATTATCTTTGTTAATCCTGAATTATTTTCTTAATTAGTGGTTTGAAAAATGTTTACGCCCATCATTATTGACATATTTGAACTTAAGCTTCAATGATTAGTCGATTAATTTGACAGAAAATAATTGGTCACCAAATTGATAATTCATGCAAAAAAAAAGACACATATTGGCTGTTTTTTTCGACTGTTGGTTGAATAAAATATAACATTTTAGGACATCATCCTTGGGTGAATTTTAAAGGATTTTTTCCTTTTTTTAAAAAAAAACAGTTTTTTGACATTTTTATACATTTTTCTTTATCAAGAAAATAATCAGCCGATGCAATCAATAATGAAAACAGTGGTTGTTGCAGCCCTACTTTACTAACTACTTTTTGCGCAGTTAAAAGTCCAAAACACAAAGATATTTTGTTCACTATGATACAAGACAAAGAAAAACAGACATATTCTTACATATTCAAAGCTAGAATATTTTGTTTTGGCATTATTACTGACAAAACATCTAGTCGTTCCAGCTCAAATTTTATTTATTGATTTATTTACTCACATATCCACATTTCTGTGTGTTGCATTTATTCACAAATTGGCAGGACAGGATGTGATTAAACTAGCCCTAACTCTAGTCGTAGTTAGTGGCCATTGGGAGTGATCCAACCGTGTGATCTGTGAGTACTGAGATGGATCACTTGAGCTGCTGATGAGAGCTCCGTTTCAGTGTTGAGTTTTAACACCGTGACCCTGTTGCAAGGGGTCCGCCATAACCAATAGCCCCTCTGCTAAAATTAGCAGCTCGACTTGTGGATAATTGTCAAACTCTCGTTTAGGTTGAGTGACATCCATGAATTTCAAAGTATGTTGCATGTGGCGGAATATCACTGAAGGAACTGTGCAACTACTCGCCTTTGATCTTTTGTAATTCCCGTTAAATGATGATGGGAAGGGAAAGGAAGCGTCACTAATCCCACAACTCTGCTTTTTCACTTTCTCTGGATCTTGGTTTATTTGATGAAACTGCAACCATTTTAAAGTGTGAATCTTTCCAAATCTGAGGGAACAACATAGCAGAGGAGGCTGAGGGAGATTTCAGGGCTATCATGAATTGCCATCTTTCATTTAATGTTTTAAATAAGACTTTGTCAGACTTTGTTTCTCATTGTGAATATATCCAGATGAAATAAAACTCTTGTGTAATTATGCTATAAAGAATCACACAGATTTTCAGTGGCTTTGAGAACAAGAGTTTCACTAATTTGCATAGATATTTTCATATTGTTACTGTTACTTTTCCAAATGAAGTTAGAAGCAAAAATCACATTGAAAGACTGAAACTTAATGTCTTGGCTGATACATGAATCATACTGTTAATATTTTCTGTCTCTCGAACTGTGTGAAACCTCATAAAAGAAGTCAGAAATGGCTTATAATGGCAAAAAAAACCCAACTGAAAACAAATAAGGCCATACTTCTTTAACATTCTATAATATAAACTCCAAGTGTAACTTTATTAATGCTGCTTTCAGGTACGCTCATTTTGGCCCTCTCTGTATTTATCCATTATTATTTTATTTTTGTCCGCATCTGCAGAAATGCTAAAGCAGAAAGACAAGCATCCTGGGAGGATCATGGTTACCTCATATACTTCCATTTCAGAAACAATACAATGCTGAAAAGGCAGCTTGAAAAATACTTAAGATCTTTGCCTGCAGTCAGCCATAAGCCAACCACACTGGGACACAGTTCCCAGACCACAAGAATTCTTTGAGGCCAGTGCTGATTAGTGAGGTCTTTAAACCTAGTTTTATGGAATATCTTGAATTCATTTGGCCATTTCAGAGAAATAAAATATAGGAAATGATAGTAATAATTACGGTTAACATTGTTTATTCATACAAATTTAATGACTGCAATAAAGAAAATGTAAAAAAAAAAAAAAGCGACAGTAGTGTCCTATAGATGAATGACATTCCTTATTCTAAAGTATCTCATTATGTTGTACATGAACTCTTGGCCTTCTTTGCAGTAAATTCCATTTATGCATATTTCTAATTAAAAACTGAACAAACTGAGCGGGAACTAAGTTCACACAGTATGGAAGATGTTATTTAAGTTGTAGACATGATGGATTGATGCTTCTCTGTGTTCTTCGATCCGTTAGGCATCCATTTAAAATTTGTTTGTGAACATACAATCAAAACACTCACTGTGGTGATCACAGTTCAGTGTGTTAAGATGTATTCAAAGCAGCAGTGGATATATTCTGAAACGCTTTCCCAAGATTCATGAAACTCTTGCTTGTCCATCCAATGCCAGCATACCTGGAGGATTTCCTCCACACATGAATGTCAGGGCAAATGATGGCTTGTAATTTTACAGTATGATAGATGTCATGAAAGAGTAAGTTTTGAATGTTGGCCACTAGTCCAAAAGCTGTCTGTGCTGGTATTTTCTCTTGCAAAAAAAATAACCTTATGTCGACTCACTTTTCTAATATTCCAAAAAGCTAATACTTATCGTGGATAAAGAGAAGTATCTTTATTAGAAGAAATGTTGAATTATGGCTGATAACAGCAAACTTGTTACTTGGTGGTTATTCTTTCCCCATCAGATAAAGAAGAAGAAGAAGAAGAAGATATACTTTATTGATCCCCTAGGGGGAAATTGTTTTGTTTTTTTCACTCTCTTTTTTTATACACACACACAC